GGCGACATTTCGTCTGACACCTGCTGGTTCGATTTTTCTTGGCCTCGATTCGTCCATGGTTATCATAAAATCAGTTCCAGAGGCAGTTTCAGGTTCGTACTCAACTGAGGATTCCTCCAATGCATCAGATTCGTCATATTTCATCTTTTTGTTGGATGACTTTGGCCGATTCGGAACAAATGTGGGTAACGGCAACCCCGTAAACTCCATACGTACCTAAAAAATCAGAATCACACTTATTAAATTAAGCGACCCGCTCTGATGCCACTTGTTAGAATTTTAGGTACGTAAATATCCAGATTTTCACACAAAGATCAGAAATTAAAATACGCAGCGGAAAATAAATAAACACGAAAGATTTAAAATTTAGTCTACAAGTAAAATCACTTGTAGACTAAGGCACATGCCAAAATATTCACTAGAACAAATTATTCACAAAGTTTTTCATCTTATCTAAAAACATCTAGTGAACTATGAAAAAACACAATACGCGAGTTCGACAACTATAAGCAATATATTTTATCAAAAGACAAGATAAAAGATTCAAAGTCGAATTGTCCCCCGTTGTATCTCTGGACATCCACGCAGGCTTCAACTTGTTGCTCTCTCTCATGACATATGGTTGATGCTTCTATTATTTCTAAATCCCACACATGAAGCTTGTTCTCTAAAGCTCAAGCCTTGCTACAGGATTTTGTAGCTGAAGCTTCTCAATAAAATACAATCTCCCTGCCTTGTGCTTTGTCTTGCAAATACGTTCCCTGCTCCGCTTCAAGAATATGGATGCCCTTATACGAAAAACTCACGCAGACACCTCTAATCTTTTCCCAAGCCTGATTCTTCTCATTATTTTCATGATGTAGATTCCATTTTTATCGCTTTCTTTTCAAGCAAGAATCCTATTAAGAAAAGGAAACTATATAATAATAATATACTACCAAAAATAAAAAATTAATATATATATATATATATATATATATATATATATATAAAAAATAAACCAGAAAAGCAAAATAACAAATTAATCAAAAAATATGATTTAATCAAAAAAAAATACCTCTATTGGCGAGTTTTTTTTTTTTGGTCGGGTTCTTCGTAGCCATCCACGGAGTCTTTTCGGGCCCGTCCTTCGCAGTGAATCGCTGCCCGCCGCTGTCTCTTGGTCAAACTTCGTGGCGATCGTCCCGACAAAGTAAATACAGTGCTCTGTCGTTGATGTCTGTTCGCAGCCTACAGGACCACGCTCCCGACCTCCCCGTCAAATTGCATTCCACATATTTCTGATAGGGGCTCCCAACTATCGTCTCGCCGTGGTGCCGTGCTGAACATCAATTATACTGTCCCTGTGCCCGACGACAATCCCGAGCCCATCGAATTAATGGTTCTTGGTGTCCAAGAGGAATCTATTGATTTAAAGATGGTCCGATTCCCGTGTTGCAGCTCAAAATTGTTGGAGCTTTGATGGGTGAAACAAGCGATTGTGTTGGAGATACGGTTGAATATGCTCTTGCTCATTGCTCAAGGTCTGAAGGTATCTGCTTGCATTGGAGTGACTCTTGAAAAGAGACAAGCAGGATATACTTTTTGGATGTTATTGGTGGACAAATGTTGATTTCGTTTTTGAGCTTGTTTGAGCTATTCTGACCATGCTACGCGTAACCCCTTGAATTAAGGGGGAGATGAGATACTGAGAATCCATTTGCCCGTGCACGATGATTGAGTAGACGTCTGATGCCAGTATTGAGGGGGAGTCGAAGCTGAGCGCGGGCCACACCATTTTCATATCCGACGTCTAAAGTCTACATTTTCTGAACAAAAAGGGGGAGATGCAGATGGAGAGCTCGACTTTATCACTGTTTGCGTTTCTCTTCCTTTATCTCTTTTATATCTGTTTTCATTGTGTTATTTAGGGGGAGTGTTTAATGCTTAGTTCTATATATTGTTTTGTTCAGAAAAGCAAAAAGGGGGAGATTGTTAAATCATATTATTGATTAATTTTTTTATTTTGCTTTTCTGATTTATATTAGGTGTTTTATTTTTAGTACAATATTATTGTTATTTGTTTCCTTGTGTTAATAGGTTTCTACTAGGAAAAAGAGATAAGAAGGAAAAAAGATTCTGGCAAGGGAGCAGCGTGTGGTTTTGTGAAGCAATAGTGCATCAAAGATTTTTTTTCCTATTATATAGAGCAGCAGCATGCACGGGATTTAAAAAAAAAAGAAGCAGCAGCCATTGTGGAATAAACAATATCAATTTTTAGAGCGGCTGCGTGTGTTTTGATCAGTCATACTTCTTCCGTTTTGCACACGAGATCTTTCGGGCTTGCTTTCTTTTGTTCTTTGCTTTTTGATAGTTTATTTTGATATAATGCATCTTGTTTAAACTAGCGTTTTGTTTTTCGTTTTTCACTAGACGTGTTAGGATTGTCTTGGAATAGTATGGAAAACCTTGAAGTTGATTTGTTCTAGTGAATTTTTGGCATGTGGCCTTAGTCTACAAGTGATTTTACTTGTAGACTAAATTTTGAATCGTGTGTGTTTGTTTATTTTCCGCTGCGTATTTTAATTTCTTGTTTTTTTCGAGTGAAATCTGAATATTTACGTACCTATAATTCTAACAGTATCGGAGACCAGGGCCAGTGCCTGATGATTTGTCTCTTAATAAGAACCTTGCGAGCAGTTTTTCGGCAGGAAACCGAGACGATTGTTGGCCAAATCGTATTCCACGTAAACATTCTGCATCTGCCACTGACCCAACACGATCGCAGGCCCCTCCATCGCATTTGTCTCGTTACCTACCGACCGTATCGTCATGCAAATAACCGAGTCGTTCCATAACCCTAAGTAATTTTCAACCGGCACAACCAACTCGCCCCCTCCTTGGAAACCGAAAACCAATTCTGGCATACCGCTCATATCCGAATCAATATTATAACGCGGCCCATGCGAAGACTTGTTTTCCACCTCCGTAGCCCTGTTGTACTTTGTCCCGACTTGCTTCTTAAACTCGTGCACGAACGGTTTGAACACTCTTATGTCCATGACGGAGACTGTGTAGCCGGCCTCCACTATCACGCCCCTGTGGCCATCGTTATTCGGGACAAGGTACTTTGTCGGGACGTTGACCTCCACTCCCCCGACCACAATCTTCTGCAAGTTGATGTAGTAATATGCTGACAGCCACGGCTCGTCCGGGAAGTCAGTGAACGGAGTGTAGCGAATAATGTCCTGTGTCCCCTTCCCTTTTCTTTCTCCCCAGTTGAGAACCAAATCACCGCTTACATTACGATTGCCTTGGTATTGCTTCGAGACAAAGCAGTGGGAGAACATCGTGAGATTGAGTTGGGACGCGAGGGACGAAGGGACACGCCCGAACCCGGCGATCCCTATACCGTGCGGCCATCCCTCCGAATCGGATACGCACCCCGACAAAGAGATTGCGGGCCGGGTCCTTCACTCCGGGAAGGGTTAGGGACTCGAATAAAACAACCCCCGACATCGCCAACGAGCCTTCGTTGTCGGTGTACTCCGCCAAGCACGAGTGGTTCGCGGCGGAGCATTCTTCGAAGCACTCGGGGACAAGTTCCCATGAGACAATATCGTGCAGTAACGTGTCGTTGCAGTAAACTAGAGCCGAAGAGTTGGATAGATCGGGGTTGAATGTGGGAATGTCCTTGGGGTCGAGGGTGCAGCCGTAACCGCACGAGAAGTTGGCCCTGCATGGGAACGAGGTAAGTCTGACGCTGCCGGAGAGGGCGAAGTCAAGGGATTGTGGCGGCGTGCCGAAGGAGAGGGGGAAGGTGTAAACGCCGTCAGGGCTGGCAAAGAGAGGGATAGTGGAGGAGATGTTGGACGACCGGGCGAGTGACGTCTGTCGACGTAGCTATTGCCATAGGGTGTTGGTTGTGGCTGATGAGTGGTGCTTTCTAGGGTTGGAGAGGGATAGAGTTATGAAGTGGGAGTGGGAGTGGGAGGAAGAAAGAGTGAAAAAGAGAGTGAGGAGGAGGAACAAGGAGAGATAACATTGTGAAGAAGAAGAAGAAGAATGAGTGAAAAAGAGAGTGAGGAGGAGGAACAAGGAGAGATAACATTGTGAAGAAGAAGAAGAAGAAGAAGAAGAAGAAGAAGAAGAAGAAGAAGAA